CGTTTTCATTAATAATATCGTGTTCATCGTCGAGTCGAATCGTTGTACACACGGGCACAATTGGTCAGAAATTATATCGAATTAGTCGTAAATTCATACGTTGTTTCCACCGAAACGTTCGTAAATCCACGTGTGATACAAATTTATTTTCGTTTCGTTATTACACCCACTCGAAACACGTATTTCATTTTTGTTAATCCATTCGCTTCTACTATTCGTTCGACTTGTGCTTCAATCACATTTTTTTTCATTCTCCCTTTCCTTCAATTTCTCATAGTTAATATCGCGACCGATGAATAAACGTAGCTTTCACTGTGGAAAATTGTCGCATTGCCTTTTAACGTTTGTGATATTAATTAAATTGGCGAGTTGACATTTTATTTGGCGAAGGATCAAAGAGTAGAGACACTTTGAATTCGGTATTTTTTAAATCGTCAAGAATAGATGGCTGAGAAAATATTTTTTGCTTTGCCAATTAAGATAACTTTCCTGTCTCAAAAACTTCATTTTCTCGAAATGAAGTTAATTTATAATATATTCGAGGGACAAGTGAAAATAAAAGATTCATCAAAAATTATGAAGCTGGATCAAGTAAATGAAAGATTTTTATATAGAAATAAAAGGGAAGGAATTTTATTGGAAAATAAAAGGAAGAGGAAGTATTTATTTTTCTGATATTCTGTCCCTTTCTCTTTCTCTCTTTCTTTTTTTTTGAAACAGTGTGTTGTATTTTATGATAATCTTCAAAAAGAATTGCAATTTGTGCCTTCTATCTATTACAGCGGTTAACTTTTTCTTTCTTTATTTGTCCGCATTTTTACAAAATGCTGTTTCACGTTGTTTCGAAACTTGTTAAAGTTTTATACACAAAGAACAAGATAAAAATCCCAGTGACTGCCACACTACTATAAAGACAAATTGTATTTCATATTTGTTTGTTGCGATTACAGAATGTCTTTATTTGTTTTATATTTTTATATTTTTTAAATTTTTACGGAATAATTGCTTATTTTGGAAATATACCGATCAAAATTTTGGAATTAATAACATGTTCCATAAAATTCAAAAATATTTAAAATAATAATTAGATTATCAATTAGAAAATTTTTTTCTCGAAAAATATTTTATCGAAATAAGTAAAATTGTTAATATGTATTTAAGATCAATTTCAAGTTGACAAAAAAAATTAGAATAAATATAAAGAGAAAAAAGAAAAATTCCAACTTTTGATCGGTTTTCTTTTTCAAGAAAATACGAATCACATTCAATTACATTGTCGCTAATACTCTAATTGATATTTCGATTATTTTCATCGTGATTATCATCTCGAAATTTCAAACATTCATATAGATGATAGACTTGCGATGTGCTTAATATTATTTTTTAAGGATATTTCACAATTTCATGCGTTACACGGCCTCATTTTTTCAAATATATATATATATATGTGTATGTGTATATATACAATATCTCATTTGTTATCCACTTAATATTTATAATTTTTAAATATATACTTATTTATTTATATTTATATGTGTATAATAGGTATGCGAATACTTATATACAATTATATGTATGTATATATATATAAATATATATATATATGTGGAAGTCAAAAATTAATAAAGTTAAAAAAATATAATCTTCAAAATAGAAACTATAACCGTCTCTCTCTTTTCAGCTACAGCACTATTGTGTCACTTATAAGTCCTTTATTCTCATTTGTCTTTTTTTTTTTCCTTATTTCTTCAAAAATGCATAGGACATTTCTTTCTCTCTCTCTCTCTCTCTCTCTCTTTCTCTCTCTCTCTTTCTCTCTTTCTCTCTCTCTCTCTCTCTTTCTCTCTGTCCCTTTTCTTGTTTTCTTTATACAAGAATTACATGTGTATTTATAATTTGCGTGTTCATTGGCTCGAGAACGAAGGAACGTTCGTGAAAAGAAAAAGTTACTCTTTCTGATCACGTTTTTTAAAGCTTTGTCAATCTAATTACCATTCGACGAGCTTTCGAGCTTGTCCTTTTCAATAATAAATCAATCGATTGCGTTCGAACAGATATAATAAAAAATGATACAACATCGTGAACGTTCACTGTTCGCATCTCATCTATTTCTATCGATATGATTTTACAAAATCGATTTCTAGCGTACGATTATTTCGCAGAAATAATGTATTTCTCGCATAATTATAGGAAATATTGGTTCAAATAATTGGTCTTACACTTAATTAGAGGTAACACATATTTATACATATAACGCGTAACGTATCGTTTTATATGTTTATCGATGAACTAAATATTTTAGTACTCGCTGGATTTTTCTGCAATGCAGTTTTTACTGTCGACTACAAAAATCTTTTTTACAAAATCTTCATGATTTTTCTCGCAGTGAAGCAATGGTAATTGAGCAACAGGTCTTATAATCTGCTAATAATTCAGTAAAATTACTGTTTCGTAATTAAGTCGTTTTGCTGACTTTTTACAAAAATTTATTTTTTTGAAAGAAACAATCGTTTCGTTCAAGCTTTTTTTTTTTATTAAGGAAAATGATTCAATGATTTTCATTATTTACAAATATTGAAAAAAGTGACAAAACATAAGGAATATTTTCTTAAATAAAAATACAATATTGTAATGAAATTTTAAATAATCATTTTAAAATTATTGTTAATTGAGCTCGTTTATTATTTTTATTATTATTAGTATTAGTATTAGTATTAGTATTATTATAAAAATATCAAAACGTATCTAAATTTATAAATTAATTGTTTAAATAATAATTTACCTTCTTACATTCTGTGTATTGCCTTAAAAAATACTGAACGATGCTATTTGTGTTTTTTGCAAATTGCATGAAAAATGGCGCAAAAAATACTACATTCGATTGTCTTCTAAATTCTGTTATAGACCATCGCCATTTTAATTATAGAAGAAATACATTTCACTAATAGAAATTTTAAATTCTTAGTAAAAATGTCTTAATAATAAGAATGTTGTTTTTTCTTTTTTTTTTCTTTTTTGTTAATATTAACATACAATACGATATCGTAAGACAATCCAATTAATCGTTAATTATTCACAGTGACAAAGTTTAATTAATAGTTAATAATTGTAAGTCGCAATTTGGAATATTGATATATCAATGAAAATATAAATATATTCGAAATTGAAATAACATCTTTTTACACAATTTATACACATTTTTCATAAATTAATCATAAAATAATATTTTTGCTACAAAATTCTGTTTCATAATATATGCAATGTTTGTAGATAATTTTTACATAAGAATTAAAATAGAAAATATTGTTAAAACGATTTGATTGTTATATAAATAATCATACAAATTTATTTAATAAACAAATCGCATATAAATTTGAATTACAAAATTTTTTTAAAATAATATATATTCAATTCGTATCGTAGAATAATGAATAATTTTAAGAATATTTGTTGATTTAAATTAATACATGTCGTGTGATGATAAATTTAAATATATCGAGCCAAATTGTTATCATTCTTTCGCAATGTATCTGACGTATTATATCAAAATGACATGCTGCTCCGTTACGTAAGCTTATCAATGAAATTATAATTTTAATTTTATCTGTATCATCAAATATTTTTTCTCATTTTCATCCATTTGGTTATATCTAAGGGACAATAAAATAAAAGAAAATAGAAAAAAAATGATAAGGAATTTGCGGGTCAACTTTTCACTGATTAATCGCAGCTCGTTTTACAGCGAAGCGATTAATTAACAAAGTGAACATTTTTTTTGAAAAAAAATATCTTTATCAATTAAAAAATTGAACGAGAAATATTCAGTTAATTATATTTTGTCTTTAAATGAACTTTCATTATTCTGAAACAAAGAGAAATAAATTGATTTTTACGAACGTCTATCAGGTAATTAAATAATAAAATAAGATATTGAATATGAATGAGATGATATATAAAATATTATAAAATATGTATATCGTTCGAGAGACAATGAAATATAATTTTAGAAAATTTTATGATCTATCTTTGATGATATCTTGTTTACATGTTTAAATTACATTGTATAAATTTCTTAAAAATAAATGCAATAACATATCTATTAATTACAAAGAAATGTTTGATATGAAAAATTGTATAGTTTAATAAAAAAGTCATAGAAAATTAACAAAATTAAAAGAAACTAAATTTAAAATTGTTATATTCGATAATTCGAATGTAAATTAAAATTCGAATGAATTTTCAAACAATTAATTAAATTGATTGTTGAAGATTTGGTTACCGATTTTTCATGGCAGTAAATTTATGCGATGATAAACGAAACAAAGAATTTTGTCAGTGCTAGAAAATTTTAGAGTGCAATTTCTTCCGATTTTTCAAAAAAATCGGCAAAGTATTCGTACCATTTTACGATCATGTATAAGTGCATATTGCATACATTATAGAAAATTTAGCAAATAGTGTGACCGAATTAAGGAGATTGTCCTTTAATATTTGACATTATTCTTGACGTATCGTTAATATCGATTTCTTTTTAAAGATGTAATATACGTGTAATATTCTTGTTTGACATTTTAGAAATGTCAAATAAAAGACTTATAAATTTAATAATTATTAATCAATAAAAGTGTGCATAAAGATATAAATGAAAGAAAAAAATTTGACTACAGATTGGAATTCAATATAGAAAAAAAACATAAGGATCAAAAATAACACAAGATAATTAATATTCACTCTTTGAATATTAAATATTTTATTGACCTTTATTGATTAATGATAAATATTATAATTATTTCCAAATCTCGATAAAAAGTGATCTCTAAGTATCATTAATAGAAGATTAATTTTATTTCTTCTAATAAGATAACGATAGTAATAAACAAAATATAAAAGATTCCTTTAAGATTTCTTTAAAATTTTTATCGATAATTAACGATAACTTCTTTTTTTTTTTTTTTCAGAAACTCCTTAATAATCTCCTTAATAAGTCATCGAGGTACGTAGCTTTGTTTTACTTACTCATATGTATAGATTTATTTCTTCATACATATGTTTGTAGCAAAGAGTTTCGAAATTTTTTGATAAATCTATGATCTTCAGCAGAGATATGCAAGATATTTTATAAAACATTAAAAAATCATTAGAACTTTCTGACATCAAGAAATATGAATCTCGTGCAATTCACTATTAAACTATTAAACAGCCAGTGAATATCTATATAGTGATAATCGAAAGGAATCTCTTTTTTTTTTCTTCTTTTGAGAAAGAAATTTTACATTTTATCTCTTAAACTTTGTTGATAGAGATTTAATCGTAATGTTTCAAAAAAAATGTGTGTGTAATACGTCATGGTCCGATGGAATATCAATTCAATCTTCCAAATTTCTTTTTTAAATAATTAAAAAATATAATTCTTTTTTAAATAAATATAACCATTCGTAAAAACTTAAATTTGGGTCTATTTATATTAATAATATAAGAAATATACGTATAGTTTTAAATTTGATTATAAAAATGCAATAGATAATACATAATGTTATAAAGTAAGTTGCAAATAATTAGATATTAGAATACAAAGAAATCACAATCATTTTAAACAAATAGCGTTTAATATTAATATATAATGGAAATTAATCGGACCACAACGCGTCAGCACAATAATAAGTGAAAAATGTGACCACGCCACGTTATTCCATTCAGTCGTCTGCATATCTCAATCGCATTTGAAAGAAGAACATTTGTCGTCGAAAATTTCCATGCATCTACAGTCGATTATCTTTTCGATCTTCTCCTTCTTGATTGAATGTATCGACTGAAGAAATTGAGTCTGATTCCTCGCGTAGAAGATCGAAATCATTGAATTAATTTTCGAACACGATGAAATCTTTCGATGATTATAAATAAAAGATCTCAAGTATATTTTGGAATGATTAAATTGAAAGCAATTTGTCCTTGGAATTGATTATTGGAAATATATCAAAAATCAAAATATTAATAACAAAGAATTATTAATACTTTGATCTATCAAATATCCTTGTGAGAATTAAATATTACACGATATTTTTCAAAACTGTCAAATATTAATAACAAATGTTCGTATCAAAAAAACCCTCGTAAGGATTAAAACAACACATAAGTTTAGCATATATGTCTCTGAAACTATAATCGAAATTGATTTTTCACGACAACTACGTACGCACAAGACGTAAAATAAAAGGAATATTGCCTTATTGAAGAAGATAGTAATGTGAAATAATCTAACGAATAAAACATAAATAAAATAAAAAGTAACTGTATTGTAAAATACAGTATCGCTTAATTATCACAAAATTATTCTAAATTACCACCAATTTCTAAAAACTTTTCACGCATATATTCATTCCAAGAACTTAAGAAACAAACTGAAAATTTACGTTGATTCGTCAGAATTAGATGTGGATTAGGTGTTTTTCTCCATAGTTGGGCAATAATAATTATTTCAATTCCTTTAAAAAACGGAGCCTCCCACACTCGATCAATCGAAGTCGGAAAATATTACATACCCCCTCCATGATCATCCAGTGTTTCACGCGAGATTATCTAAATCTAAAGTGACGCATGTACGTGTTGTAAAAATATGCGAGTCTTACGAGCTACGTGGCTCTCTCCCCGTGATGGAAATCACGATTACTCTTTCTCCTCGGTTTCCTGGCTCTCGGCGCCCAGCAGAGTCGATTTGTCTTCCTCGTGGCCCTCCACTTCCGGTTCCTCCACACTCTGACGCTGGCGTCTTGTAGCCTTTCGTTGCACGTACAGTAGAAGGGAGATGCTGACGCTTGCCAAGGCCGCGAACACAGCCAGGACTATGTAAATCCTTATCGGCATTTGGTTTAACCCCTGTGGAATAACGCGATGCCACTTTTTCTTTAGTCTGTCGAGGTTAAACGTTGAGAGAAGATTGGATTGTGTGATAAGATAAAACGAAAATAAAAAGAAATAAAAATAATAAGGATACTTCGAAGAATTGATTCTTCCAGAGAGTAAAACAAACGCAAAAGTTGATATGGAAAAAAAATATTGGTTGAGACTTATTTGTTAATTTATGAGCAATTGAAGATTGTTTTATTATATTATTTATTATATTGGATATTATTTATATATTGTTTTATATATTATTTATTAAATTGGAATTAAAATATTTTTTTTTTTAAATTTTCATCACAATATTTAATCATTCGTAGATTTCCAAGAATATTATTCATAATCATTTGTGAATGGTTAGAGATTGGGATGAGATCAAGATTACTCGATAAAGTTTAATATACGTAAAGTTCTTGAAAAACGATGCTTGTTCAAACACATTCCTGACTCGTCGTAAATTTATTCATTTATAATGAAACAAAACTTAGTATCGGAAATTTTGACCCAGTTAAGTAATTCAATATGATAATGGTTTTAAGGTTCGTGTCTATTAAATAGACAATTCTCCAGTAAATATTTTATATTGAGAAATTATCGGGAAACTAACTAAATTTCCATTAATAAATAATTATAAATAGTTTATTAAATAAAAGATTAGTAATAGAACTATTTAGAAATATTTTCTAAATAGTTTCTTTTATATTAAATTATACAATGATAAATGTCTTTTTTTTTTTATTCAAATTTTCGTTCAAATTTATGCAAATTTATTTATACTTTGGAATTTATTAATTCGAAAATTTTTGTACCGAATAAATTATTTTAATTATTTTAAAAATATCGATTTTTTTGACTTATGTTTAATAGAACATTTTTTATCCTGAAAATTATGAATTTTCTTCTATGAATCTTGTATAATAAAGCATATAACATTATTTGTAATTAACGCGCCAAATTTCCATCACCAAAAGATTTGTAACGTAATATTTTAATGTCATCTCGATCATTATTTTATACAACGAAAATCTCTATAAAATTTATTAAATATTTGAGAGAATAAAAAAAATAAGATCAAGTTATTTCATCAAATGTTTATATTTTCCATTAGTCTTCACCTTTGAAATTCCTACAGAATTTTACAGAATTTTATGAGGTAGATATTCAAGTCAAAGAAATAGAAACTGTAAGATATTACATCATATAAATATATATAAATAATACGGAATACCATGCTTTTATTTTACTTAAAGAAAGTTTCGTCTAAAGGCATAAGATTGGATTTTCCTCCGGTTGTTTTAGAGTATTCTTAACATAAATTATCCTCGGGAAATCGATATTGAATGGGATTTCCATTGAAATCGAACACTGATTCCGCGTGTTCCGGATAAGATCTTTGCCTGTGAAGACTGTTTGAAATTCTGATTGGTGGGGGGTCGTCTAACGGTCGACACGTAGGATTAATCTTCCATTTAAATAACTTTTCCCTTTAAGAAGACATTTACCGTGGAATGTAATTTAATTTAATCCACGAAATTGGATGCCGCCCTTCTTCCAGATTAATTTTTCACAGCTTCCTCTGCTCTCTCGTGTAAACCTCGCCGCATCGAAATATTGAAATTTAATGTTATTAACAGCTAGATTATATGATACGCAGCCGTATGATTTGAGAGACGAAGAGAGGAGAAAAATACGATTCGATGTGGGATTAAATGATGATTTATATGGAAAAACTGATATTTCGATTATACCTTGTACAAATATATAAATTCGTATTAAGATTAAAAAATGTGCAGATTATTCGTTCTATTTCTTTCTCTATTTGTTTGAAAGTGAAGATATTTTAACATTCTTTGAGTTTCGGATATCTCTCTTTGTATCCTCTTTTTATCTTTGTAATTTTGTCACGATAATGAATTACACGTAAATATTTTAAATATCAACTTTGGAATGGATTAAATGGAAATCGATAATTTCAATGAATAATTTTCAGTTTTTTAAAATTTTTAATAATAGCCAATGGTCAAGAGATGTGCACATAATTTTATAACATTAAAAAGTGGGGACCGTCGTCTAAATATTCAAGGAGGAAACGAACCGTCTCATTTTGCGCACAGCTGATTTGCTTCTTTGTCTGTGCTACTTCAACCGGAAGCAGTGATAAACACAGGCGCGTTATCACTGCGTGGACTGCCGCAATTTATGAAACTTGCATTAAGGCGATCGTCTGTTGCCTCATCTCGAGTCAATGATAAATCCGTTTCAGTATGCAATGATTTGAAAATTCTGGTGGATAATGGCCGTCCAGGGGAAGCGGAAGTAATCTTGATTATTTATTAATTTACTATTTTCCACGCGAATAAAATTGAAAATGTGACGAGAAAAAATAAAATGGATCAAAACACCGATAAATTTGATGCATCTTGAGCGTTTATGTAATTAAAAAATATGCGATAATTTTTATTCTTTAAATAAAATTGTATGATAATTGTGGCAATTATAGCAATTACTCAAGGATGACCGCAAAATGAAAATGAAAGAGGAAAATAATCTCTGAAGGAACGATTACGTGGTTCTTTCTCCTCATCTCGCGGCCAGAAAAAGATAATGGTAGCCTAGAAGAGAAAACCGTGGGAGAAATATAAAAGGAACCCGGCTATTTCTCGTCTCTGCTTTAAGATTCACCAACATGCCCTGCCTATCGATCGCGACTCGCTAGTACCTTCGGTTTTAGATGTCTTTGCTGCAACGCGATCAATATTTATGTAGAATACAAATTAACCTTTGGGATTCGTAAAGATCCACCTTAAATTTTCTATTCGACTCGAGTGTGTTTGAATCCTCGAGAGGGATGCGCAAGAAATTTTAAAAGGAAGGCAAACTTGTACCGTTCGATTTTCTATTATTTTTATCGAAGATTCTACCACAGAAATTCTATCTGATTATATTTTTATTGCTATTATTTAATTTTATCGAACGGTATTTGTTTTTTCGAACTTGTTTTTGTTCGATTTGTGATCGGTTTTATTGTTTAATTTAAAGTTTGATGGAGATAAATGTTTTTGTTTAGGAAGGAAATAGTAAAAGGATTTAGAAGAAATGGAAACAATTTAGGAAATTAAAACTTCAGTTAAACGAGGTTCAAGCTACGACGATTAATTTTTATCGAAGAATAATTCAAGACAAGAATGAAAACAACGACAAATTTAACTTTACTCGTTTACTTTTGAAAATCAAGTGAATACTCGTAAAATACGATATAATAAAATATCATAATGTTTATATTCTTATATTTTGATACATTCGTGAAATATTATCGGAGAATCTATTCTAGATGTGAAAACAAATGTAAAATATACAAAAATAATGAAGTTTATTTATTAAGTTACGAACGAGTAAAGTTTTCTTTAAATAAAGCGAGATGGAGACAAAGTAATGGCACGCGGTATGACAGAGATAAAACTTGTTGTTCGCGATAACGCCGCGACGCGGCGCTGCATTTCGCTTCGTCTAACTTGAATTACTTATAACTTGTTAAATATGCCTCAACCGATATTTTCGTATATCAATTTTTGCGTTTATTTCGACGTTTAGAATCGATATTCCAAAGATATGTCATAAATATATTTCTGTATTGTTAATAACACTTGTCGTTATAAACAAAAATGAAAGAAAATAAGTGGAAAAGGATAGCAAATTTAAATAAGAACGTGAAATTGAAAATAATCGCGTGAAGCGCGTAATATTAAAATCGAGGATTTTTACAGAGACGAATGTGAAAAAGCGTAGAATGTATGCCGTTTTTTAGACGCAATTGTCCGGTATTCACGGTGTGCTTGTGAATTCCAAAGCAGTAAAGTTTTGAACTATTTGGAGCGGACAGAGTGTACTCGGTCATAGAGTTTATGAGATAAGAAACCACAAATACGCAGAAATTTACGCTGTCGAATAGCACTGTACTATAACTCGACTGAAAATTTAAAGCAATGACGAAAGATATGTTGAAATTTTTTCACTATTCACTTTGTATATTCACGCTTCATTTAACGCGAACTTAAATTGCTTACAATTTAACATAAATCCTCCACAAATATCTCCAAACATTCCTTTCTAAAAATGAATATATTAATAATATTGTTCGTAAAAAAAAAAAAAAAAAAAATACGATGAAAAATTATAATACGAGAACATAAAAAATAATAAGAAATAATATTATTCCATTAACTAGAATTGTTACAAATATTGAACAAAGATTTCAAAGTTTTTTGCGAGTGAAATTCAAACTTCGATATTTCCAAGATGAAAACTAGTGAAATGGTGGGTATCAATCGATGGACGTAACAATGCACGACGAAAAGAGCGATAAGAGTAGAATTCGACCCACTTACACTCTGCATTATCGCACATGCTCGTTAACTTACTTGCGAAGATGACTGTACCTTCCATTGGAAGTCGGACGAGGGATCGGTGAAGAACCACTTCTGCGGCCACGGGTTTATCGTACCCTCCGGCGTCTTGAAGATCAACCCTTCCAGGCTTAGGCCGTGGGCCAGCACGCTAGTCGTGATGTTTCCTTTCTTGTACGACGCTATCCCCGCCTTCATGTACATCTGCGGTATCGTCTCGTTCTCTCTCAGCTTCAAGGTCACCCTCGGCATCTTCGCCTTTCTCGACGCGTTCGAAGACGTCTTGGCCACCTCGCTCGTCGTGCTCGTCCATGTTTTCGAACCGGTCGACGATGTCGATGACAGAGTCGACGACGGGCTCATCGTGGACGTGAATATCGCGGAGGTGGACGTCTGTCGAGTACTCGTCGACGATTCCGTGCTGCTTTCTTGACGCTGCGTGCTACTTGTCGTGGAATCTGGGGACAGAGAGTTCAGGAAAAAAAAGGAATTGAAAGCTCGTAGATGAGAGAGAAGATAGGGTAAAATTTTTTTTCATTCTTTCCAAGTCAATTTTGAAGGTATATATTGTCGTGGTTATCGTTCTGTACGAGTAATTTCGCTTCAGAGATATATGCAAAAGAAAACATTTTTTAATTTATCATACGAAATAAAATATTTGACTCGATCATCGTTTCCGATAAGCGAGTTTACTATTAAATGTTTTGTTATTTTTTTTTTTTTTTTTAATAAGACAGAGTACGAGAGGGAAATTGGAGTGTATAACGAGAAAATCAATATTAAAGGACACGATAAAGGCGATAAATGTCACAAACTTGATGAAACGATTAAAGGTGAATTTCTCAACGCTCTATTAACCTCACGTTGCCATCGAAATGTTTGCATAATGAAAGCATTTCGCGTGCCGTGTTACGGGAAACTAACCGCGAAACGATTTGAACGATAATTGCGTGGATATTGTCAATTTCTTTTTTACCCATCGATCCAACTACCTATTAAAAGTTTCGAGAAACTTTTATAGGGGCCGATTAAAGGATAACGTAAACTATTTGCACTTGAAGGACAGAATGTCGAATTAGCTCGTCTTACCGATCTAAATTGATCCCAAAACTGGAATCAAACTTCTTAAATGGATAACCCGATAAGATATTGCCGATACATAAATATCCAAGGATAAAGAGACGTTCTTCGACTGAAAACTTGTCCTGTACAACCGATAATACAATCTTCCTCCAATTTTTAACCTTTTTTCCAAGGAAAGAAGTAATTCTCTCTGATCTCTTGTCGTTTCCTAGGGAACTAAAAAAAGGAAATTATTTTTTCCTTCTTCCTTCAATAATGAAAATCTTCGACTTGACTTACAAACTACGCGCAACAAGCATCGATTCAGTCTGTGGAGAAAACGAGGGGAGAAGCAACACACAAAGAATTCATACCCGTGGTAGCGAACTCCTCCGACTCTTGTTCGTCGCCATTCAACGCTCCCGTAGTCATCTCGTCCTCGACATCCTGTTTCCTGTAAGCTTCCGTCGATGGGAGCGTGGTGGTGGCGGTGGTGGTGGCGGTGATCGGAAGCCTGCTTTTGCTTTTGTTCACGCCGATCTCTTTCCCCTGACTCCTCGACGAGTTTCTCTCTATTGTGTCGTGCCCGACCCGACCCATCGCGAGCACAGTGCCCGCGAACAGGCTCTGATCATTCTGACTTATGAGAAACGGGGTCGCCACGCAGGACAGGATGATCAGGATGAGCAAAGTGGCTATGGTATACTTGATCACCCTCGGGCTAGATTTTTCCGACGTCTGAGGGAACTCAGACGAAAACTGATCCGTTTGCGGTACAATTGTGTACTGCAGACTGGCATCGCCTTTTCGTACCGTTTTGTACATAATTAATAAACCTGTTGGAAGAAGAATTGGAGAAGAATTGGAGGGGGAAAAAAAAAATATGGTACAAATAAATGTGATAATACATTTAATTAGAAAATAGTCGTGAAGATGAAGTAATAAATATTCTGAAAAATTGGTAAATATCATGAAGCAAAGGATCTGAGAAGAATTTAATGATTCATAGAGCGTTTGAAATAAATTAAATTAAAAATACATTGAAATTACGTGAAATATAAGAATAAAATTTTTTTTAACGAGCAATTATTTTTCCCTTGGAATTATTTTTGGCAAAAAAATTGCATTCCTATTTATTTTCGTCGTTCATTTATTTAGAAATGGATGAAATGAAAAATATGGTACAAATAAACGTGATAAGAGATTCAAATAGAAAATGATGAAGATGGTACAAATAAACGTAATAATAGAAAATAGAAAATAGTGAAGATGAAGTAATAAATATTCTGAAAAATTGGTAAATATTATGAAGCAAAGGATCTGAGAAGAATTTAATGATTCATAGAGAGTTTGAAATAAATTAAATTAAAAATACATTGAAATTACGTGAAATATAAGAATAAAATTTTTTTTAACGAGCAATTATTTTTCCCTTGGAATTATTTTTGGCAAAAAAATTGCATTCCTATTTATTTTCATCGTTCATTTATTTGGAAATGGATGAAATGAAAAATATGGTACAAATAAACGTGATAATAGATTCAAATAGAAAATGGTGAAGATGGTACAAATAAACGTAATAATAGATTCAAATAGAAAATAGTGAAGATGAAGTAATAAATATTCTGAAAAATTGGTAAATATCGCAAAGGAAAGGATGAGAAGAATTTAATGATTCATAGAGAGTTTGAAATAAATTAAATTAAAAATACATTGAAATTACGTGAAATATAGCTATGGAATAAAATTTTTTTTAACGAGCAATTATTTTTCCCTTGGAATTAATCTTGGCAAAAAAGTTGCATTCCTATTTATTTTCATCATTCATTTATTTGGAAATGGATGAAATGAAAAATATGATACAAATAAACATAATAATAGATTCAAATAAAAAATAGTGAAGATGAAGTAATAAATATTCTGAAAAGTTGGTAAATATCGCAAAGGAAAGGATGAGAAGAATTTAATGATTCATAGAGCGTTTGAAATAAATTGAAATAAATAAATTAAAAATATTGAAATTATATGAAATATAAGAATAAAATTTTTTTAACGAGGGAAACTATTTTTCCCTTGAAATTAGTCTTGGCAGTTACATTCCTATTTATTTTCATCGTTCAATTTATCTGGAAATGGATGAAAGAGGCGATGTACCGTTTACCAACTTTGTTCGATACTAATGAAACGAACGTGGGCTTCCTTGTGTAAAGACAAAGTGAACACGTTACGCGACCTGTTGAAAGTGTACACTGTAGAATTTACCGTCCGATGAAACAGCTTTCAATCAGAACTGTTTTCTTAAACGACATGGATGGCAACAGAAACACCAAGCTAGGACAGAAGAAAACAGAGTTTCATTTAGGCGACAATGCGAAAATGAAATTTGACGCGTGTAAAAGATAAACGCGTCCTACTGAAACTGAACTCGTATATGCTTGGCAATTTTCCATACGTTTTTCAAGCAAAAGGCAGAGATCCCTTTTTCTTTTTTTTTTTTTTTTTATTTTGCATTCGCGCTTTTCACGATCCTTTCTCTGCTTTTTCTATTTCCATGGAAATTATATAAATATCCATTAATCGAAATTAAACGTTCGCAGTAGAAAAAATAAGATAAGAGGTAAAAGTATACTGATTTTTTAGAAAAGTTTTATACAAGATTCTTTGATTAAATATTTTATTGAAAATTTGGAAATTTCGTTGAAAAATTTATAGAAATTGAAAGAAGTGTGTATCTCGCGTCTTCTATATTTAGAGAAAATTTTATTAAAAGTGCGATAATTTGCACAAAAATTTTCTTAAAGAAAATTATTACTCTTTATTATATATGAAGAAAAATTTTTTCAATATTTTTTTATAATATTTATTTCATTGTGAATTCAATAATGAATAATTTGTTTCAATTATCATTTTCTTATCGCTTTATAATAAATAAAAGTTTAAATTCTCTTTATTTCCATATTAGATCGATTTCCATGTGTTTTATCCAACTCTAAAATTACATCATTTTTAGTAAAATTAGAAACGATATAACGATGTTAGCAATTGCTAATTTTAATTTTGGTTGCAATTTCTGATGAAAATTTCTCTGTCAAAGATGACCTATATTCTACCATATCCATCTTTGATAGTTAAATAAAGTTAAATAAAGGCCTTAATCGAAAGTAATCCGCGTCAAATAACTAAAGATATTTCAGAAATAATACAGATATTCAAAAAAGATATTAGAAACTATGACAATTTATACAAATTAGATTATAAATTTCTTCTTTCTAGAAAAATAAAAAGATTTTTTAAATTAACAAAATATACTTTATCGATAAAATAATCTTTTTTTTTTTTGCATTATCGTTTTTAGAAGCAAAAATAATGGAATACGTAAAGAATTTTCCTAATGCGATAAAGAAAAACCTAATTTCAATGTATTAACATAAAATGCGTGACTACGAGTTCTAATATATAATAGTCGAATTATTAAAATTTTTTTATAACTTGGAACAATCCCTTTTTAACTTTAATCTTAAAAAAAAAAAAAAAAGTTATCGTTTATTTTAAAGTATGCACGAGATGAAACGTGGTAAAATACGAGGTTAAATAAAACGCGCTTATACGAAAATAAAAAGTTAATGCGGCTGCGAAGGTATACTTCCGCGAATTTTAAACCTCACACTACAAGGAAGGGGAAAAAAATATAGCAATATCGTTCAATTTACAATTTTTTTTAAATCCAATCATAAAGTTAAGATAGGGCAATAAATTTTCTAGGTAAAAATACATTTCAACTCTTTATTTATTCCCTAACGAGAGGTTATAATTTATTATTGCTACTACGGTTGGTCGTAAAAATATAAAACAACATTTACATTTTATAGCAATCATAAAGAATTAACTGCAATATACTTTGACAAATTTTTCAATCCAACTTAAAGAATGAATAATATAAATTCGTATTACGTTTCAGTTCCAATTCGTTTTCTCGTAAGAAGAAAAATTATAATTTATTTCTAGAGGAAATTTAAAATTCACGAAAGTACGAATTCGATCGTCAGCCTCGTTATAAAAATATATGTAATTATGTTTCGTGGCAATTTGAATTTTAAATCACGTATGTATCTTTTAGATTGGATTATATACGTAGAGATACTAATAATTAGGATAACGTGTTTGCGTGTATTTTAACGAAACAGTTGTCTCGTAAACTTGCAATAGTAGATCCCTATCTTAATAACTATAATCTCGTTTGGTTACAAACGCATGTACATGTTTCGTTCGAATGGAATGGGACAGAAATTAACACGTGAAATTTACGAACGCACGAATAATTAATTAAGCAAACTCGATGAATCAAAACATAATACATATATCTGTTCGTATGAAAAAAAAAATATTTTTAAATTTTACCTTCCTAATACTTATTATTATCAAATAATATTCCTTTCATTTTTCACTTTCGTCGAGTAACGAATAATATAATAAAATATAAAATAAAATAACGAAATATAAGAACGTTCGTATAATAATAACGTTTACAAGATTCATATAAATTCAGAGATACAAGAATGTCTTCGAATTTTACTCCTCTACTGGCCGTAAATCAGCAACAACGTCGACCCATATTTTTCCAAATTCCCAAAGGATTATCGAGCGTGGTCGGAGAAAAGAAAGGACAACAGAGGCCGACGTCTTCCGCCGTGGGAAATCGATTCCCGATTTTCCTCGCCAAATATTAAATCACCGAGCCTAAATCGACGCCGGTCGTTCGAACGTACCCTCGAAGGTTAACACCGCCGGTTTCTCTAATAGGTGACGCTATCGAAAAGATATTAAAAAAAAAAAAAAAAAAAACCAAAGAAACCTTCGAGACAATAATAATAATAAAAAAAAAAATCCATCCAAGATCCAAGAAACAAAATTTGAAAATTGATTTCGAGACAGAAACGGATGATATCCAGAAGAGATGATGTCCAGAAGAGGACACGAAAGTCGATGAAAACAAATGAAACGACCACGATACGCTTGCGAGGCGTACTACTCCTTTACAAACAAATGGCGAGATACGAGAAATGCGTGGTAGGAAACGTGGTTGGAAAAGGATCGATGCGAAATATCGCGGGGAAGGACGACAAAGTAGAACGAGCGAGGATGGTGCGAGGTACTCACGATATGTGAACAACCGAAAGGGGTTGGTATTCTTCGTATCCCACTTCCGGCAGCCTGCTCCGTCGGAACGAACACGACAATCCGGGACAGGCAGAACCTCGCCTGTGAGAGAAATTTTGTTGGAAAATGCGCAGATGCGCCTGGCCAAGGGGTGGCAGTGCGGCTGCGCGCGCGTTCCGCTCGCTTTCCGGAAATCCGTCACCGTTTCAATGTTTTCCACGATGGGGATGCGAGAGAGCGAGTTGGGTTCAAGGACGTTGCAGGACGTTGTCGACCTTGAACTTCTCTTGCGGCTATCTTCTTATTACGTATATCCGCTCACCAGTCGTTTATCTTCCATCTTCCGATCTCCTTTCGTCGATATCAATTTTTTATACAACGCGTTTATTATTATATTTATATTTAAGGGAGAAAGAGAGAGAGAGAGAGGGAGAGTGAGAGAGAAGTAATTTGATATGAAAATTATTAGAAATCGCTTTTTCGTTGGAAAGATTGAGAATTTGAAGGTTTTGAGTTATCTTGGAATATTGCGTGTAATGTAGCTTAAAGAATGAAATGTAGCTTAAGATGTTAAGACGTGTAATTTTCGTTTTATTTTATGTAAACATTGTTCAATTCTTACAATATGAAAACAATCGAGAGAAAGATACTTCGATTGAGTTTTCTCTGTATTCTAAAATTCATGAATAATTAAACAATGATTGAGCGATATGGTATATTTTCTGAAAGATAAAAATAAAATTTTGCTAAAAATATTTTATTATTTTGATACAAAATATAAATATAGTAAATATAGTATGTGTATTTTATTTACTTATCGAAATAATGGAAGACATCGATGTACGTAACATAATTTTAGAATATCCTGTTATTTTCCTGTTTAAGGAAAACGAATAATTTGTATTCTATTCATCATTAATCGCAAAAATCGGTAAAAAATATTTTTAAGATGCAAGATTTTTTAATAGCATCGAATTAACGAATATTATGCATCTTATTATCATTATTGCATAGTCGGCATAGCTGTCGAGGAAGCGATATCACCGGCATCTCCGGATCTCCACAGCTGAGTTATCGTTTTCACTTGTGTGTAAAAATTTATACCCTGAAAAAGTAACACGTTTAGAAAATATTTTCACAATTTGTAGAAAATGTTAAATGTTATGTTATGAATATCAAGGTTTAAAAACTATGACATAAATTTTTATTAATACAAAGAATCTATCGAGAAAGCGACTGGAAAAGCGACTCCAAATGTTTTATCGTTGATAATCGCGCGAATTTTTATATAATTTCACTCACGTGCTTCCCGTAAAAATGATTATCACCCAGAAATGATCCCTTATTTCCAGTGAAACTGAACATTGGCAAAGGTACTGGGATAGGAACGTTTACGCCAACTTGACCAGCTTCGATCCTATTTACAAACGCTCTCGCTGTTGCACCGTTTGATGTGAATACAGCAGTCCCGTTTCCGTAAGGGCTCTTGTTAATAATATCGATCGCCTCGTCCAAAGTGTCGGTGAAAATGCACGAAAGAACGGGTCCAAAGATCTCCTCGGTGTAACATTTCATGCTAGGCTGAAACATATTGCGAAATAACCTTCTATTCAACTCGATATTAAACCTATTGAACCTCGATCACATGCGTTTTTCGTCATACATACATATGCACCACGCTATAAATACCTTCACGTGGGTCAACACGGTCGGTCCAACGAAATTCCCCTTTTCGAAACCATGGACAACGAGCCCTCTGCCATCGAGAGCTAACGTAGCGCCATCTTTCACTCCCGACTCGACGAGATCGCATATCCTCTTCTTGGATCGAGGCGATATAACTGGTCCAAGATCGGTCCCAGGTATGTGTCCGGCGTTCACTTTCAATTTCTTCGATGCTCGAACCAATTCTGGGATCCACTCTTTCGACTTACCCACGAATATGGCCACCGAGAGTGCCATGCATCTTTGCCCAGCCGCTCCAAACGCGGCACCCACGATTTGGGAAATGGTCTTATTTTTATTCGCATCCGGTAGAACGATGCAATGGTTCTTCGCGCCCATGTTGCACTGCACTCGTTTTCCATGAGCACTGCTCTGTTTGTAAATGTATTTACCCTGTAAAAAGAAAGAAAAAAGTTACTCAAAATTAAAATTTGTTTTATTCGATTCGATTCAGAAATTTGTATTCCCTCTTCGCTGCAAATTTACAAAAATATAAGATATAACGATTATAACTTTTCACGAAGAGTCCCAATATTAAAACAATAAAATACTGTTAAATACTTTTCGCATCGATATATGTCTGAAGACAAATTACGAGACGATTCCCCGAAGAGTCGATACACGAGTTGGAACCCGAAACGACGTCAGAAATTCTGCTTAATTTTCTCATGAACCGTTTCAGTAATAGGGGGAGCATCTCTTATCAGAGGTAAGCACCGGTTAAGACCCCATGAGATTCAGGAACATCAATATTCTACTCGCTGGAAATCTCTACCACGTTCGACGTTTCGCCGTCGACTTCTAACTTTACCATCAACCGTCGAGCAGATCAATTAATCAATAATCTCTCCGTAACTCTGAAGAAAGAAAAGAGAAGGAAGAGAAGGATTTGTGAACGCACCGCTTGATCGGAGCCGACGAAAGAGACCGCTTTGATGTCCGGATGCTCGCAGATAAAATCGACAGCCTCGTGTTGGCCGTGTACAACGTTCAACAATCCTGGTGGCGCGCCTGCCCTGGTGAACAGATCGGCGAGGATCATCGAAGCGCCTGGCACGCGTTCCGATGGTTTGAGAATGGCGGCGTTTCCGCAGGCGACCGAGACCGGAAACGACCAAAGGGGTATCATCGCCGGGAAATTGAAGGGACAGATGGAGGCAGTTACGCCAAGGGGAAGCTTGTAGGAAATTATGTCCATATCTGTGGCGATATTTGGCGTGCTCTCCCCCATTTGAAGAGAAGGAATCGCGGCACACGTGTCCACCACCTCTGCAACATAAATCAGTCGCGCGTGATCTATGGTTCCTACATGGCTGCGATTCGAAGGGGGGCGAACGAGGATCGTCATCGGGATGGATCGTGCGTTTGTCTGTGTATAGGGCATTTATCGAGATCTGAAAGTATGAGAGGTTAATAAATATAATTGAGTTATATATGTATTTTTTCTTAATAAACTTACGTAACCCTCGGAGAACGTCACCTTCGGCATCGGCCATTGTCTTCCCATTCTCCTTTACCATGTTCTCTGCGATTTCTTTCTAAACAAAATAATTTATTATACAAGTATTTTACGCGTTGATTCCCGAATTAGAGAATGTTGAGTTTTATAGAAGATTTAATTATGAAATAATTTTTAAAAAGAAAGTTTCTTTCTAGGATAAAGTTGGAATTTTACAACAAGCTTACCGAGTGTTCGCGAATAAGGGCTTGATATTTGAGCATCAGTGTTTGTCTGGTAAGTACACTCGTATTTTTCCATTTTGCATAAGCTTCTTTTGCACTTTTCACGGCTGTCTCCATTTCCTCTTTCGTGCATTTCGGGGTACGACATAAAAGTTCATTTGTTGCTGGGTCGTGAACATCGGTGAATTCCGTAGCCTTTGATTCTGAAACAAATTAAAATATATTAAACCAAATGTGAGTTAAAAAAAAAAATGACGGTAATTTGTTACGTGTTTATTTTTGGAATTTTAAATAATTATTTTTTTTTTTTTTGAAAACGTTTAAAATCTTTTAAAAATAACTTTATTTAGGGTAATTTTAATTGAAAAGTTTTTGCAATCTTTGTAATCTTAGGTTAAAAATTTAATCCTATTTTTTAGATATCTTCCATATAAAGCTATTTATAATCCTTATCGTCTGAATATCGTTTAAATATTTTAACATATACTATTCTGATCACCTATGACCCGATAACAATCAAATGAGGATAAATTAAGACCGTGGAAACCGAATGTTTTAGCACCAAAGACTGCGTAAAATGATCCAGAATATAAATACATATTGATTAAAGAATAATAAAAAAAAATTATCTCGATATATCTTCTATCTGGAGAACAAAAATATTGCTCCATTTAACTTTAATAACTTCCATATAAAGAGTATTATTTATTTCATTTATAAATGTTCCTCATTAAAACAATTCTTGGAATTGAATTCATCTCGAAATATGACGCCTTTTCTGTACAGTTTCAATGGGTGCTCGAGAAGTACTCTTGGACCGTAAGCTTCAATTAAATGCCTTTAAAAGCGCACTTTAAATATTCATAACGGGTTGTATCGTACGAAAAATAGGTTGAAGAGTACTTCAAAGATCCGAATATCTGTTCCATCACGTTTTGTTCTTGATAATGCTATAATTGCCTTAGTTTTTAGACGATCGAGAGAACCGATTCAACCAAGAAACGCACACATTTCAATTTTTCGATAGATTCACGTTGAAAACAGGAATGTTATTTCATAATTGAGTCATAATTTCAGAATGTTAATTCGATATAAATTCGATAAAAATAATGATCAAACGTGAATATATTTAAAACTTTATATATTTTTTTTCAAAAAATTTAATTAAAATGTTTAACGAAATTAAGAAAGAAGAGATAAAATTTCATCATTTGAAAAATATTATCATATAATGGATATTTATGCATTTATGAAATGTTTAAAGTTGCAGAAATGGATAAATGATACAATTTACGAAATATTCAAGGTAGAATACTCGTTATAATATTTATTGTAGAAAACAAATTTTTATTTAGATTCCACTCTTTTATTCATGCTCGTAAAAGTATACATTTGCATTCGTATGAAAATTTCATGTACACAATATGTAAATGTATAAATATAAAAAAAGAAAAATTAAAATATCGAAACAGTGAATTAATTATAAATTATTCAAAAGAATAAACATAAGATACGTTTATTTATTTAAAAATTATTAATCCTCATATAGAATATAGAATTATTGCAAGTATTTTTCCTTAATAATTAATTATTTTTCTTGATTTTATAATGTAAAACGATAATTAATATAAAAACACAGCATTTATAAAAATATTTTTAAATTTTTATTGCAATAATTACCTACGAATTGGCCATCAATGTACATCTTAACTGTTGGTATGCTAGTGCTGTAAGTCCTTGCGGCAAAATACGCCTAAAATACCATTTAGTTAATGTTAAACAATTCTTGATTCAACAATAAATGAATATAACGAGATTCACATTGAATTTTTTTCACATTTTTTAAAATAGATATTGAATTACATTTTATATCTGCATACAATGTATGTATTAATCGTAAAAAAAATTGCAACGAAGATACTATAATAAATAATAAATAAAAAATAATAATAAAATAAAATAAATAAATAATAAATAAAATAATAAATAATTTAATCGTCGAGGTAGATTTTACTTTGTAAAATATTTTAACCTGTGACCTTTATCATATCATTTACAATTACAATCGAAAATCTATAAAATAATTTACAAACATATAGTAATGATAACTTATTTTCAAATATAAGACCGCATATGTATTGTATTTGTTACGTAATATAGCACAGTATTATATATTTTCTATATTTAACGAGTACAATTTATTATAAAAGTTATAAATCTTTTTTATCAGGATTCATTATTTGAATTATACACGATAAATATCATTTTGCAACGATACTCTATAAATCGATTTAATACGAGTATTACGTAAAATACGCCAGCTCTATTACGCTAAATTGATAATGACATTTTATTTTACGAGCGTTATTGGCCCCTATACATATATAATTCTGGACTCATCGAAATCAATTGAAGACGCGTAATTTCCTTTAAAAAACAACATGGACGTCGTATGATAAAAAAACATTCCTTTAACTCTTTTCAACTTCTAAATTATTTACCAAAGAATATTTCTGCGATTTATCTTTATTGCATGATAAACAAGTTGGTTGTACAGATATTGTGACATTTATAAACGTATGAGGATCACTTATAAATGGAATAAAATTTATAATCTAATTGTATGATTAACTTATGATGGGAATACAATTTTACTTTAATTCTGAATATTTAGACAAGCACAATAGTATAAGATTACTGTGGAAACTTTGAAAGAAGATTTCTTAATCAGAATAACAAAAATAATTGGAATTAACTGAATGAATGTGAGATAATAATGAATGATAAATGTTCGATAATATGTTAATCAAAAACGTTTAGATGAATACAAATCGTATAAGATATTAAGTAAATGATATACATGTCTCAAAGGCCAAGAACGTTATCGCATAACTTGATAATGAATAAATTTTGCAATTTGTAATTTTAATTAGCAATAGAAACGATTATGCATTGCATAGATGAAAAATTGCAAAATTCAAAAAAGATTAATTCGATTAAAAGCAATATTGCGAATACTTTTTATTATTGTGTATTTATTTAATTTAATTATTTTGAATAGCTAATTTATTTCTAACCTCAATCTCCAGAAATTTTCCAAGCCGACAAACACATTGAAATTGAATTTTTTAAGACGAACATTCAATTCAATTTATCACGTACACTCGCATCAATTTTTTAGTTGAAACAATTTTTTAATTAATAATCAACATCAAATAACATCAATCATGAACTAAAGCAAATAAATTTAAAAAGAACACTACAATTATCTTTTTAGCATCGAATCAAAATCTTCATTCATATCATATTCATGTTCATTCGTTCTCATAATATGAAAGATTATAATGCAAATATTGAGTTACTTTTCAATATTATTTGTAACTCGGATAAAAATACAAAAATCGAACAAAAATATATATTACAAATATTCGATATACCTCGCACTTAACAAGTTTCGCGAGGAGCGCCATAATTGTAGAATACACGTTCGAAGTTGTCCGTACAGAACTGGCTAATTCACTGAAAAAATGGCCTTGCTTACGATCGTACAAGACCGTATATTTTCATTAAGATTAGTTACTCTGTTTACAACATTTCCAGAGATTGATGTTTTTAAAACTGTTCATAACTTGTTCGTTCGGTTATCATCGAAGAATTCACGAACATGGCCGAACAAAGTATCAACACCGTTATTGATTTCAAGTTTATTGCAACGAATAATTCATAATATAACGAGCATTTAATTTTCTTTAATACAACATGGCAAAAACGTTGTAATTTTATTAAAAGTTAAATTTTGTATTGATAATTCTATAGTATAAAGTTATTTGGAAATGGCGCTAAATTTTAAAAAAAAAAAAATCTACTTTTTAAAATGTCTATCAAAAGAAATAAGCCGATAAAGAAGGAAATTTGAACTAAAGTATCAACAATTGATAATTCTTGAGAATATACTATTAGGAAATGTTAGATGTCGCCACTGGATAGTTTATTCGCTTACGAAATTAAAAATAATATATATTATGAATTTATTACATTAATTGCTTTCATTTTTATCTTTTTCTTTTTTAATGAATTTGAGAATATGAATTTTAAAATTTAAATAAGATTATTAACATTTATGATTTAATTAATATTACATTCTATATAAAATTCTTTTTATTAAAAAAAATTAAAATATTGAAACATATTAAAAAAGTTATATAAAGAATTACAAACTTTAAAAAAGTTTTTATTTAATACTTTGATTATTATAAATAATTTATTTTAATTTATCTCTTATTTTATTAATGATTTATTATTATTTATTAAATATTATATCATATCTAATTAAATTTTTATACATATACATTTCTGATACTTTTTAAAATCTAAAATTATCTAATTACAATATTAATTAACAGAAAAATATTATTATTTATTATCACAACAATTTTTATTAAAATTAATTCCAATTATTCTGGCAACAATTTTCAATAGCAATAATACATTAATTTCTTTAATTTTGTGTAACATTAAATTTAAATAACGGTAGTTTAATTAAAATAATACGAACTAGAGCTATTTGTTGGCATAAATCACGCATTTCGATCCAACGTGTTGCAAAATTAACTTCCTATTACAAATATCGTACACGATGTTATAGTCGATCTTATCAATTCCCAATCGATTGCTACAAGAATAATGGCATCTGGTCTGAAAAAAGAAGAAAAAAAAAGGTATGAGGAACAGGGGAAAGCAGGAATGTTGGTAATCGTTAGGTGGCCCAAGGCATGCGTAACAACTAACCGCGCGATTACACGGAAGTTGATTGGCAAACAATCGTTAGAACCGATCGACAGGTTTCTGGTTCGGTATTAAAGTCTCGTGCGCCGTTTCGTTTTATATGTAGTGTGTGCAGGCTTGAAACGCCTCCGAAAGCTTGCCTATCGATACACCATCGTGATTATGTATGGCGAAGAAAGTGAAACGCGCGATGGAAATTCAGCCTAATAAGGTGAACAAAACGTGTGGCACATTACTCATTAGCGATAACTATCGACATGGAGTTAGAAAACGATATTAGAAACTGTATTAAAAAATATGATGGGTGATAAGAGGACGATAAGAGATATTTTGAATATTTTTTTTTTTCTTTTTCGATAAAATTTAATTATTGAACGTACGGCTTTGTTATTTTTGCAACATATTTATGCGAACAAGGTTAGAAATAGAATAAACAAAAGTTGCGCTATTAACGTTAAGTCTCGCGATGAAAATGAATATGCTGTGGGAAAACGATATTAGAAAACGAGTTTGAGCTGGTGAAAGCAATACGGAGTCGTTAGCGAAAATTTCATTCAAATAGTTTCACAATATCGCTAGATAGAGATATATTCTTAGTCATGCCATGCATTTATTTTATCAAGCGATATAATGCAAATAAAATTTTCTACGATATATAAAGTAACAAATTAATTAATTGTCAGTTCGTTAAAAGAAATATTTAATTACTTTTGTTTATCTCGCATATATTCTAAATCATTCCAGGAATCTTTTTGAAAAATTCACTTTATATAGATATAAATTATTATGAAAAAATATCAAATGAATCGCACTTATTTTATCTCCGTTTCATTTCATCTAACGCAAACTTAATATAACTTAATATAACTTAATAAATAAACTTGTGATCATGATTTTTGTATATCAATTTTTATTTTTGGCTTGACTAGAATCGAGTCTTTAATTAAATCCGATGAATATATTAAACATTTTATGTGAAATAAATTATATCAATTTCAAAAAAAGAAAAATTATAATATTCGCAATGATTGCGAGGAAGAATTATTTTTCCCATCATTCTCAACCATAATTTGCCCCATACAACTAATAAACATGGGACAACTCGAGTCGAAGTGAAATGTTGAAAGCCAGCTTCGTGCCATCGGAATACAAGTGAAAAGGAAATGAAATACGTTTCTTGTAAACAGAACTCGTCGTATTAAGCCACGTGTGACATAACAGTGACATGAATGTGTTCGAAGCTAATCGCTTCAAGTAAAATGAAACATGAACTGTTCAAGTAACGTCCAATGTTTTACGTGGCGGCAATTGCTTTCTCGTTTCGTATGTACGTAATAATTTTACGAAATTGGCTCAATCGGTAACAAAGGAAAGCAATTATCGTTATAAATTCTTTCTCATTTTTTTAATGAAAAATAAATTCGGGAAATTCAAAAGTTAATCCATTGTCACATTTTTCCTGAAAACAAATTAACGTAATTCGAGAACTCTTTTATTAGTCAAACTTTCAATTGACGAATCAATTAAATCACTTTAATTACTTTCATAGTAATCTATAATAGATAATATTTATAAATAGATTCTTTTGTATCGTTATTAACATTGATACAATTAAATATTATTGGACAATTGTTTTTTAAAAAAATAAAAATTCAATAGCAAGTGTGATGCACGATAAGAGATTCGAAAACAAATAAATCTTCATCGATTGATATCGATTTCAACGAATGGCGAAACACACAATGTTCTTGCGCGAATATTTACTTGAATTTCTATTTTACCGAACGAAATCAAGCAATTCGACGACGTTTACATGCATAAGAAGAGTTTCTTGAACGTTGTGTAAAGATTATGTTATCGTCTTGGCAGGATATCGTAACGTGTTTTGTAACGTGTCGTTCGGTGTGCTGAATATTAAACTCACTTTACGATGTTCGTTAAGAAGCCATTCTAGAAAATTAAGTAACATCCTTAATATTTATAAATGATTTCCGATGATCGTAAGATCAATAGCGAAAGTGATTTCACAATAAATATTATATTAAAAAATATAATATTAAATAACGAGCAAAAAAATTTGATTATTTAAAATTTTCATTCAAAATATTTGACAACTAACTGTATTTTTTTCATTTTTTTTGTTTTTTTTTTTTTTTTTTATTAAACGATACTTCGATTGACATTAACAGACTTACGAAAGATTTCAAAGGAAGGACTTCACGTTTCACATTCAGGGATCATCGGTTAAATAGAACGAAGCTTTCAACTTTGTGTACTATGATCCGTTTCCGGGACAATTCCGTAAAGAGATATTTGTGAAAGTTAGTTATAGTAGAAAGTTCTTTTCTTCCTCTATCAAGTCAACTAAAAAGTATCATTTATATGTGTATCTAATGAATGAAGCTCTGATATTTGAAGAAAGTGAGACCGGATAACTCGATATATGATTTCAAGTGTGGTTAAAAATATTTGACAATAATTCAATCGGTAAAAATAAATTTAACAATTTCAACTCCTTCGAGCATTTTAATTTTATTCAAATTAACTTGATTAACATTTCAATAAAATGCAAAATTATTTTCGTTTCATAAAACGATTTTATCGATAAAATACAGTAAATCTTGAATATTTTCATTCAATTAATAAATTCAATGATTAACTTTCAAGGTGAATGAAAAGTATAATGATTAATGAAATTGCAAATTATTAGTTTTGAATTAAACATCATGAATAATTTTTTCTTATCATTTACTTAATGTAATTGATTTGTTTTTCTTTTTTCTTAGATTGGACAAAGACGAAGAGAGACGGAAATAGAATGAGACAGCTTTGTTCGTATTACGCAAAGACGCCGCGCTGTGGCGCGCATGTCACTCCGTCTCTGTCTCTCTTCATCTAACGCAAACTTCAATCGCACACATATCTCAATAAATAAATCTCAACTCAAACAAAATTTTTGTATATCAATTTATGTTTTTTACTCTCTCTTTTAGCTCTTTCAATTAATTCTTCAAAGATGATGACACGAATATATATCGAAACTCTATCTATACGTCTATCTTATTTTTTTGTTAGAATTATCTTTTCGCTGATGTCATCAATTACAAGTGATCGTCTAATGTCGATAGACGAGTAATCAACAATAAAAATTCGGCTATTTGGCGCACGTGGACAACGTATCATCGCTGGAACATGGACAAAGCACATGCGACATTCTCGCGTAATACCGGCTTAATATTCATCGCGACGGAATGGCCCGATTACAAAACTGTGCCGCAAAACACCTGGTAATTCGATAATGATGACTGCGTGTAGTGCTATGGGACGAATCGTAGACGTCGAACCGTTTCGAAATTGGAATCAAAAGCTTCTCCAAGCTTTCCAATTGCATTAATTATCGACGCTTCGTTCATCCCTCCATGATTGAAAATTCTGCGACTGAGATTGAAAAGATTTAATAGATAATAAGATTAAAGCTTTCGAATATTTGCAATAAAGTTGAAAGAATTTAGTAGACATAGTATGATATATTTGATTAATTCGTTATTTGAAATCGATTTCGATGAAAAACAACTTCGTCATCATCACCTCATTTTTTTTTCACTATCTTTTAATCTAATTTCGACTTCGATTGTTTTTCAATTTAATTTAGATTTCAATCGATATTCTTGTGTATCAATTTTTGTATTTATTCTGGCTGTTATGGATAGACTTTCCAAAAGAAAA